AGTTTCCACATTTAGTGGCTTTTCAGAGAGCTATATGCCTTCTGCTGGTGTTGGGTCACCATGTTCTCTCAAGTCCAAGTTCTAGACGCAGCCATCAGTGGAAGTTTTCGAGGATGTCCTGTTTCCCTCCACTGACAAACTGGAGAAGCTTAATTCCCTTTCCAGCAGAACCTGTCACCTGCCCACACCTCAAAAAGCACCAGTACTTGCTTCAATGACCATGTTGCCACTGTTCTTCATTATCGTTCAAACTCTCCTGACCCAAACCCCATAGAGTGTCTAAGAAGTATTGTTAAGACATATATGTTAGAAACTAAAGCCAACATGCTGCCAAGCTGAAGGTACCAGCATGTTGTCTAGATAATGTTTATCACTAAGGTTTTTGTAGAGTCTGACCTGTGGATTTATCACTTCTTTAGGTGGAAAGCTCTTGAGATGAAACATTTCATTCTGATCTTCATCCTTGCTCAACGATTGGGTTTCCTTTGATTTGTCTTCTTAACCTCTATGTAGAGATGACCTGCTTATGCTTGGTGGGGCTACATTTGTTGTAAGTTCATAATGTAGATCTACTGTCCTATGAAGGCAAAATCTGCTGAGATCAAATAGAGAACTGACTAAGGAAGTAAAAACAGGAAAATGGAAACCAATCAGGCAAACTTTCCAAAACTAAGCAACGTAAATTAGCACATATTGGAGAGTGCACTGTTTTTGTTGTTGTTGTTGTTTTTGTTTTTGTGCTTATTTTTTATCTTTTTTTTTTTTTAAATAGAGCAGCTTCAGTGTTACATTACGCTCAAATGAACAGAAAAGTGCTAGGATACAATCTAAGGAAGATAATTAGCATTTGGATTACAAATAGAGAAATAAAAGGACACTGAAATGCTTGTGAAAAATAAATTCAGTGCTCAGTGTTAGCATTACAGAAATAAAAAAAAAAAACCTGTATGGTGTTTTTTTTTTTTTTTTTTTTTTTTTTTTTTTTTTGAACCCCCCCCAAAATTTTTAAAAAAAAA